GACAATAGTGAGTAATAAAATATGCTCCTAGGTTTTCTTACTGAAATTCAGCTATCTCTTTCTTCATTAAGCACTCCCCGGATTTCTGTGTTTAATTTTGTGAACATATTTATAGCAGCTACTTTAACATCTTTGCTAAGTTTGACATCTGGTTGGCTCTCACAGGCTGTTCTTGTTGCCAATCCTCCCCCTCTCCTACCCCTTTGGTGTATTTATTGGTTATACTTTTCTGTTTCTTTGCATGCATGCCTTGTAATTTTTTGCTGAAAATAGGACATTTTAGATAATACAATGTATTAACTCTAGGTACTGGTCCCCTCTTCTTTCTGGGGCTTGTTCTTCTTTGTTGCTAGTTTATTTGTTTAGTGCCCGGCTGGATTATTTTAATGAACTCTACCCCTCACCCCACCCTGCACCCTGCAGTATTATGCCCCTGGTGTTCTTCTGGGGGATGGAGTGCCGACTTGGGCTAGCTTACCATAACCAGGAATGACTGACAGTGGTGTTGACAGCGCTATGTTTGGTCTTTTCCTGACCATACCCAGATGTTAAACCCCACTAATTGCTGGCTGACTATTGTTTTCAACAATGCCCTTGGGCATAAATTACTCCAAAGACTAACCAAATTCTGGTTCCTTTGAAGGAATGGCTCTTGAAGTCAGTTTCTGAGATCTGTTCTGACCCCACTGCTCCCTTCTTTTCTCAGCAAACTCCCTGGCCTATAGATCTGTCTATATTTCTAATGAATCTATGGTTCCTTTTTTAATTTCCTGTTTCTGAGAGTGCTGGGATTTCTCTACCCTCTGCTGACAGTGAAGTCAGTCACTTTGGGAAGAGATAAAGAGCTATTTATTTTATGGCCTGCTTTCCCTTCCAGAAAAAAATCTCTGAGCCAGGGCTCTGGGTGTAGGGTGAGGATAATGATGCCCTTCTCTCTCAGTGACACCCTACATTAGGAGATAGGTGCTCAGCTGGAAAAGGAAGGCCCAAGGTATTCTTGACTTGCCTGCCCTGGCATGGGATGAGAGAAAGTCATTCTGTCATGATATGACCTTGTTGTTGTTTCTTTTGCATGTGGAGCAGCATAGCATCACAGAGAGTGGACTTTGGGGCCATGCTGCAGCCTAGAATTGACTCCTAACTCTGGAACTCACTAACTTGAGTTGGGTTAATGTGTCAATTTTCCATGGTTGCACAACTAATTTCCACAAACTTATATGCTTAAAATAGCACACATGTGCTATCTCACAGTTTCCATGGCTTGGGATCCAGGCTTAGCTCACAAGGCTGCAATCAAGGTACGGGCTGGGTTGCACTTTTATCTGATGCTCAGGGTCTGTTTCCAGACTCACATGGCTGTTAGCAGCATTCAGGGCTGAGAGCCTCCATTGTTTGCACAGCAATTAGAGGCTGCCTATTGTTCTTTGCCAATGGGTGTCACTCTTTTATATAATGTAATATATCATGAGAGTGATATTCCATCACGCTTGCCATTTTCTATGCGTTAGAAATAAGTTACAGTTGGCCCACACTCAAGGGGCAGAGGTTGTACAAAAATGTGAGACTCCAGGGGGCAGGGATCACAAGGACTACCTTTGAGTTTGGTGCCACAGAAGTTACTGAATATCTCTGAACCTCAGCTTATTCACCTAAAAAAAATGGGGATAGTAATAGTATTAGTCTTAAGATTGTGGTGAGAATTAATGTATGTAAAGCTCAGAATATACCTGGCTAGTAATAGGCATTATTGTTGTTACTAGATGTCCCCACAGTCCAGGAAGTATTAACTCTGGCAATTTTTCAGGATACATTATTGACGTGCTTATGCTTCTCAGTCAGTTTTAACCAACTGGTCTGGGGGTGCTCCTTGACTGCTTTCCCAGGCCAGTGAATATGTGGTTGAAGGAGTGGGGTGTTTATTGACTTACTCATGTCTGTCCATGCATATATGGGTATCTTAGTGTTTTGGGGCTGCTATAATGAAATACCACAAACTGGGTGGCTTGTTAACATCAGAAATGTGTTTAACACAGTTCTTGAGGTCAGCATGGTGGGCTGAGGTTCCTCCTCCGGGTTCATAGCTGGTGCCCTCTCTCAGTGTGTCCTCACATGGCAGAAGGGACGAGGGATCTCTCTGTAGCCTTTTGTAAGGGCACTAATCCCATTCATGAAGACTCCACCCTCAGGATCTACGTACTTCCCAATGGCCCCACCTTTTTATACCACCGCCTTTCAGGAGTAAGATCTCAATCTGTGAATTTTGGGGGGGTGGGGGGGGGAAACAAACATTCAGAGCATAGCAATGGGGAAATGAGAGAGATGAAGCTTCCCTCCCGTTTTATTAGAGAGGGCACAAAAGTAGTATACCCCTGCCTAAAAGAGGACATCAGGTCAGCTATAATATTTCATATTTTTACTAACATTCTCAGCTGAATGATCGAAAGCTAGATCATCAACAAAACTGAAAATATGCTCATGGCATTAACAAAGCAATTAAAAAATTTGATATTTTGACAAAAGAATTAAAGTAATAATCGTGAAAAAAATCTGAGCCTTGATAGTCTTCCTTACTCAAATGAATGCACTTCCACACTATTTTTGTTTGAATTACATAGGAAGGTAGAGGTAGAAACCATTTTTTCCCCCCCAGTAATTCTGAGTTCTGATGACCCTGATCTGAATTGAATCTAGCCTAGAACTGGAAATGTCTCCGAGTAAGCACTCAGCCTGTTTTTCCTTTATGCACTGTTAGGGTAGCCTCCTTGATTTGTATCTTAGATTAAACACAACAAATCGAAGGCAGTGAGAAGCAGAAGTACATCTAGGCGATTTCCTATGACCACAGTCAGATTGACAGCTGAGAGCTTGAGAGCCATAGCAAAGCTGGTAACAATGGCAGAACAGCCGCTTGGGACCGTTTATGACAGGGCTTACGTTGCACTACCCACCTCTATAGGACCATAGAACAGCACAACACCAGAGAAAGGTTACAATTTATTGAGAACACTCAGTTTAATCACAGAAAAATAATGCTCTACATTATTCTTTTAATGGTGGAAATAACATTTACAAGTCATTTATAGAGCAGTGCTTTAGGTTTTATGGGAAATAAAGTTACTTATAGTACTTTATCTATTAATAAGTTTGGTTTAATATACATTAGTGTAATATATCTCATTGGTGAGGGGGAAGGACCAAATGATTATTATAGAAAGAGAACAACAAGGGACACTTTAAGTTTCATCTCCAAACTGTGAAGGAGGCCGTCTGGGAAAATGCCTACAGCTGTCTTTCCTTAACTCCATGTTTTCTGCTCTACTTCTTAAGATCCCATTCCTCCCCACATCTAACATCAAACTCATCAGCATCCTATGGCTGTCTTCTGCTCTCAGCGGCTCAGGAAAAACTCTACTGAGGTGTAGTGTTGCCTCTTCCAGAAGGTGCTGTCACTCTCCTTGGATCCTGAAGACCCGTGAATCTGAAGATCTGGCTTCTCTCCTTTCACTCTTTCATCTCTCACCCCTTTAAGCCACTCTCCAACTTAGCTAGGACTATGGCCAGAAGCTGCTTCTCCTCCTCCTCCTCCTCCTCTTTCTCTTTCTCCTTCTTCTTGTTTAATTTTTAAATCCTTTTTATTGAAAGTATTACATATGTCCGCTATTCCTCACTATTGACCTCTTGTAGCAGGGCCCTTGCCATGCCATCCCCTCCCCAGGCCTTCACCACCCTATTGTCTATGCCCATGGGTTATGCAAATATACATTCAAATTCATTGGCTGATCTCTTCCCACCCACCTTCTGCTTCTTCTTTAAGCTTTATTTTATTTTATTTTATTTTATTTTATTTTATTTTATTTTTTAGCTATTAACAACAGATGAGTTTACAAACTGTTTCTTTTATTCCCATAGGCAATGCCTCTTTTTAATATCTGGCATCTGTCCTGTAGCTGATGGTATGATGAAATTTTGTAGTGACTGAGTCTCTACATCTGTGAAGAAAATAAAATGTCTTACCATCAGTTTCTGTCTTGAGTCTCAACAATGGCACTGTTCTTCAAATTCTTGAAGTAATATTTTGGTATTGGTTTTTCCCATAGTAACAAAGCATGATGATCTCTCTCTCTCTCTCTCTCTCTCTCTCTCTCTCTCTTCATTTAAAAAAAATACATATTGGGATTTGGGGCCTCTTTTCTTTTACTTCTACATTTGGACAAACTCACAAAGATTGGATATACCTTCTTCAGATGTTCACAACTTTCCTCTGGTCTTTATTTACACACAGGAACCAAGTTGATTAAATTTTTATTTTCTCCTTTGAAATGTATGCTTCTAAGGTACGAGGAGTTTTAACCAAGAAAAGATTTTAAAGGCAGTGGGGTGCTGAGTGAGCAAAGAAGTCTGACTGAGAAGGTTCCTTTATTCTTGAAAACTCAAAGCTGGTTGTTTGGCATTTATAATTTATATCCTGCTTGCTTCCAAAAAGATTTGGAGTGGCATCCAATAAAGCAGACAGGTAGGAGGGAGGGCAGGCAGGCATTCTGCAATGCAGTGTGGGACAGGCAAACTCAGCTGCAGCAATTTATTGGCACCTTTGGCTTTCAAAGGCCCACGTATTGTTTCTGACCTGAATACTTGTCCTGGTACTCTAACTTCTAGAAATCCCTTACAGTGACCTCCAGCCTAGAAAGGCCACTTGGTCATAGGCTTGCAAGATATTGATCAAAGAGCAAGTTCTCCCCTTCGCCCAAAGCTCTCACACATGTATCGCTGTATATGCTTTGTATTCTGTCCCTTTTAGTACATTATTTATCTCTCTATGCATAAAAGTTGTGCTCCAGCAAGCCTGTTTACATAGAACCAAACTATTATCAATACTATAATAGTAAGTGGAATAATCCTCATGCACTCTAGGGAATGAGAGGGCAGTATTGGTATTTGTTGTTATTGGTATTGGCATGTTATTGGTATTGGCGTGTTATTCTATCACGTGGCAATATCACCATGATGATCATGAATCCCCCTGGTGAGAATCAGTAATGCTACGGGTACCTGCTGCAGAAGATCATCTTTTTGAATGCCTCCCTGAGCTCCGGGCTGCGGAAGGCATAGATAAAGGGGTCAATGACTGCGTTGCACATGATCAGCATGCCATTCACCTGGAAGAGGGACATGTAGCAGGCGCAGTAAGGGTTGTTTGGGCAGAACGTCATTAAGAGGATGTGAAGAACAAAGGGGGCCCAACAGAAGATGAAGACGCCAAGAAGGATGGTCAGGGTGATGGCCCCTCTCATGTTGGCTCTGGACAGGGTTGAGATCTTCCTGGCGTGGGCACGGGCCAGCAGGAACATGTGCACGTAGAGGCAGAGGATGAAAACCAGCATCAGCGGGAACAGTGACGTGAAGGTGATCACCGTGGGGATGCTGTGGGAGAAGATCACCATGGTGATGCCGCTGCAGGTGCAGCAAGTCCAGACGACCGCCAGGACAGCCGCAGCGCGGCGCGCGGTCACGATGCTGTGGTACTGCAGCGCGTGGAAGATGGTGATGTAGCGGTCCGCGGCGATCACAGACAGGCTGAAGATGGAGCCCAGGAGGGAGAGGATGAACAGGGAGTCGATGATGTCGTCGGCCGTGGTTTCGAAACTGCCACGAGGCTTGAGATAACCCATGTTTCGGAGCATGATCAGGATGTTTTCCAAGATCTTGTACAAGCTGCCCAGCATATCGGAAATGGCCAGGCTGCAGATGAAAAAGTACATGGGTGCCTGGAGTGTCTTGTTCTTGATCACGGCCAGAAGGACGATCAGATTCTCCAGCACCCCGGCGATGGATATGGTAAAAAATATCTCTTCTGGCAAAACCACGTGAGGACAGTCTGAGTTGTTTCTTGCTGTATCGTTGATGTTTTCATAGAGGTTGGTTATGTGCTTCATTTCTCCTGCTTGTGGTTAGGACAGTGATGTGGCTTGGACTTGACAGAAAACTGGACTGATTTTTCAGAACCTTTTTTTGGCGGGAGTGGGTGTACTCTTGTGGGAGATCCAAGGTAAAAACCACACGGTCACCTAGGAAAGAATATATAACAATATCAGTTGGGAAATAAACTGCAAAATAAAAACAAGCCACGTTAACTTTAAGAAAGCTCTATTGCCCCAGTGAAATAGAATGGTGTAATATTTTAAATAACACAGTTTACTGGGCCTTCATCCTCAGCACTCAGTGACAAATCTTTACTGGGATTTTGAGCCCAGAAATAAAAATAAAGATTGGTCTTTGTCCTCTCCTCTTTCCCTCCCTGCATCTTCTCATGAATCCAATTTTATGTGAGCCAAATTAGAATGAGGAAAGAAGTAAGGAAATGAAAGAAGTACGGAAATGTGTAGACACAGGAAAGCACACAGCTACCTTTCTCTGACTGGGAGGAGTGGCTGGATTCAGGGGACTGATGAGGTGTTTGGGTCCTGTCTTTTTCACTGTCTGACCTTACAGCATACAGAATAATGGCAAACGTATTGATGGACATGTCCAGAGTTGACTATGCAATGCAATACTCATTATTTTTGTTTCAAAGACTGAACTCGTGGAAATGTATTTCTGGAGATTTCCAACGTTTTCAAGTTTTTTCTAGGTTGAAGTTGAATTATGGCAGTCAAAGAATCCAGTTTTCCTCAAGCAGAAAAGGCCGACTAGATCATAGTTGAGTGACTTTGTGAGAAGTTTGCTTCAGGTGAAAGCATGTAAATTTTTTACTGATTCAGTTTCCAGGTGGCTACACACACACACACACACACACACACACACACATTTTAATTTCAGAGAAGAAAGGAGAGGGAAAGAGAGAGATAGAAACATTAATGATGAGAGAAAATCATTGATTGGCTGCCTCCTGCACACGCCCTGGGCATGTGACCTTGACCAGAATCGAACCCAGGACCCTTCAATCCTCAAGCTGACACTCTATTCACTGAGCCAAACCAGCTAGGACAACACAGATGGTTTTATGAAATGTTTCAAATTTGCCTTTGCCATTGTGGTGGTATTAAGGATATGACCACAAGTTCTTTATACTCCTCCCCACAAGAAATGGAGCTTCATCCCCTGCATTCAGGCTTGTTAGAAGCCAGCACCATGTTGTAAAGCAGCACCATGTTGTAAAGCAGCTCTTGGGAGAGCCAATCAAGTGTAGCTTTTGACCCAAAGTTCACAGGGCATGCATCACTGTCTTACACTAAAGTTTTTCTGAAAAGGAACTGGTTTCCTTACAAAGGACTGGCATCAGGTATTAAGGTAGAAATGTTAGAGTTAGGTATGAAGATGAATAGGAAAGGGGTGGAGAGGCAGGTGGTAGCTGCTGGTAGCGGTCTACCGGGTTAACCACTTGGTCCTGTGTTCCCGGGACTAGGAGTCCTGCATCCTGGGCACTCTCAGTCCCAGGCCACCTGCCATGGTTAGTTTCTCTAGTTCTACCTGCTTGGGCCCTGGGAGGTCTGTATGCTAAAGAGTCCACTCATGTCCAACACGCTGAAGAGAATGAGGCCTTCGATGGTTAACTTTATGTGCCAATTTGGGCCTCCCAGTGTCTGGTATTTGGTCAAACATTATTCTGCATGTTAATGGATGAGATTAACATTTGAATCAGTAGTCTGAGTAAAAGCAGATTGCTCTCCCCAGTGTGGGCAGGCCTCATCCAATCTGTTGAACAAGAAGGTGCCATGAAAAAGGAGACATATGCAAAATTTTATGTAATACTTTAAACAATAAAAAAAGAAGGCTCTCTCTCTCTCATATATATATATATGAGCGTGAACCACCTATGGAGACTGTCTGGACAGAGTCTCTTGTCTTATAGTTGAGTTCATTAAATGCGCTCAGATTTGGTGTATATTTTCAATCTTGAGTGCATTTGATGGTAGAATTGATAAAGAAAAAAAGAAATGCTGGCAGAGCTCCTGGACTTCTTAGGAAGAGGTGGTTCTAAAACCCAGCTCTGCTGATGTGCATTGGTGAGCTGCTGTTTCCAATCCTGTAAGTCTATGGGAATGCCCTAAATTTGACTAGAAAATGATTACGTGTGTTGGAAATGAAAAAGGTAGGAAATACTGTACTGCTCACAAAAATCTAGCTGAGGAGCCCTGGCCAAATGGCTCAGTTGGTTGGAGCATTGTTCTGTGCACCAAAAGGTTGTGGGTTCGATTCCTTATGAGGGTACATATCTAGATTTTGGGATCAATTATCCAATTGAAGGCATGTCCAGGAGCAGCTGATATCTCCCTCTCTCTCTCTCTTCCTTTTTATCTTTCTCTTCCTCTCTCTCAAAAATAAATAAAACATATCCTCAGATGAAGATAAAAAAAAAATCTAGCTGTGGAGATAAGCATGCACATCAGAGGAAGAGAACAGATAAGGTATGGTGACTTGTTAATGAATGAGTCATGGCTGCACGTGGTGTACATGATGTGGAAGAGGACTGGCTTGCCTATAAGCACTGTAGGTAATTTACTGTCAACTGTGCAGGGCCCCACACATATGCTTAGCAATTTTAATTAATACTCTCACAGATAAAAAAAACCCAAACTCCCCAAATACATCATTACCTTCTTAAAACTCTTCATTTTAAAGGCAATTTGGTATCACTGTGGCTCCTCTCATAGTGCTCTCTATGTCAAAGGTCAGAGAAGGGGCACAGTAAAAGGTATTTTCTTTTAATGCTCCAATTAAATGTTCCTCACTACCCCATTAATTTCCTAGATAAGGAAACTGAGCCTCAGAGGGATTAAGTAACAAGGCTCTCCAGCTGCTAAGTCTGCCTTGCTCCAAGGCCCATGTTCTCTCCTGGGTTCCCTGTTAGACAGAGTTCCTTCAAATTCTGTCTAGCACCAGTTATAAGAGGCCTTGAAGTGACCCTGAATTTCAGGGATGAGGCAGCCCCGTTCTTTTCCTTCTTGTCAGGGTGGTATGATTGACAACTACTGTCCCTTCCCCACTTCCTTCGTCACCTTTTCATGGCCAGCACACACACTCCTCTCTCTGTGCAGATGTTCCTCAGCGGCCTCCCTCGCCCAAAGGAGCACGAGGGAGCTTCCCACCCGTGTTCCGCTGCACTGTGTGTCTTTATCTCTCTGGTGGCGTTGCTCACATTACACACATGCTCTTCCCTTGTAAGTGGATTCTGAGTTTTAGGATGAGCACTGGCCTTGCCATCTCGGTATGCTCAGCGCCTCACAGAGAAGCCGCCGGGCATGGCAATATGTGAACAGTGAACGGCAGACAAATGCTGCTGACACCAGACCAAAAGGTCTTAGTAAAAGTTAGTTAGCTATTGAGCTTTTAGATGAGACACGTACCTAGAAAAATTAACAAGGTTAATAATAAAATGGCTTAGACATTTCTCATGCTGAGCTGCTTTAAATTGCCCTGAAGCAGGGAGAGCTCAGTTGCTGTGGGAGCAGAACTCTTCCTCTGCCGTAAGATGCAGGAAGCAGGGAAAGTGAAGACTGCTCTGCAGCTGTCTGCTCCACCCCCTGGTACTTGTAGAGGCTCAAGGCAGGCAGGCACTCTGGCCAGGCTTGTAGCAAGGCCTGGCACCAAGGCCCAGTGGATATTTTTTAAAAATACACTAGAGGCCCAGTGTACTGGGGGGAAGGAGAGGGGTGTCCATCAGCCTGACCTGCGCCCTCTTGAGGGACCGCTCAGGGGATGTCTACCTGCTGGCTTAGCAGTCAGATATTCCTCTTGCAGTCTGGGGCTCTCACAATCCAGTACCCCTTGCTCCTTACTGCCCACCTGCAGCAGAGGTGAGAGAGGCTCTTGCCACTGCCGCTGCACTCACCAGCTGTCAGAACAGCTTCCCGCTGAGTGACCCTCCCCACGAGGGAGGACATTGACCACCAGGGGAAAGCTCCTGCATTGAGCGCCTGGCCCCTACTGCATTGAGCGCCTGGCCCCTAGTGGTCAGTGCACATCATAGCAACTGGTCATTCTGCTGTTGGGTCAATTTGCATAGTAGGCTTTTATTCTATAGGATGAATGAGGGAGCACAGCTTGTCAGCATCCCTCCTGCTCTTCTGTATAGTGTGTACTAAAGGGAGTTCTCCTCTTCCCAGTTTTCTCAGCATCCTCATCTATCCCTTGCCCATTTCTATCCATTTAGGGTTTTGCATGTGTAGAGATATGTGTGTACATGTATATGCATGTATGTACATGTATACAATGTGTATGTGTGTACATGTGTGAGTTTGGGAAGAAGATGGGTGGTAGAATTATCTCAAGGCAGCCTAGGGAAATACAAATATAGCAAATAGCTGTTTTCATAGAAAGAAATGGGCTTCTGTTCAGTAGAGTGCATGCCTCCATGACAAAGCCAACCACACAGAGTCAGTGTCTCAAGTCTGCAGTGGCTGCTTGGCTTTCTAAGTGATGACCACTTTGGAGGAGTTTGTGGTAAGGAATGTTTTTTATGCTTATTTATACCATACCCTGAGCTGCTTCCAAGAAAGTCAGAGGACTACAGAGCTAATGGACGAGAAAGGCAGAGAAAGAGAGAGAGAGAGAGAGAGAGAGAGAGAGAGAGAGAGAGAGAGCTGTCCCAGAACCACAAATAATCCATGTGCGTATGTTAATGGCAGAGTTGTAGGAAGCCAATTGCATACCAGGTTTCCTAATTGCCAGGGCAGCAAAACTATGGTGCTTATAAAAACAAAAGGTATTCAGGTAAAAGGGTGACTCTCATGAAAGGGTAAAAGAAGCATGGTTTTTTTTCCACCCTCATTTCCATTAAGAAAAGCCTGGCCATAGCCCTTATACAGAGCCTGATGATCATTTCGAGACTAAGAATATAGAGAAGTCAACAAGTTCATCAACATGCAAGGCCGCTTTAATTAGACAAACAAGTAATTGATTTTATTGTTATAGTTCAATTAGAAAAATGATATCTTCCCTCTGAAGGGATAAAAAAGGATAAGCTTTTAGGTGGAATTCTGAATACAACCTATTTAGGACTGTCCTACTTAGCATCCCAACATGTAAGAACCTGA